GGGAGGGGGCAGAGGATGAAAGAGGATAGGATGGTGACACTTTACCCTTGAACAGAGTCTCTAAAGGTACCCAAAGAGTAGAACATGAATGAGATCATTCCAGACTCCCCCAAAATCCTTGTAAAAAATCCTTTCCCAAAATCCTTGTAAAAAATTGAAATACCATTACAGAATAGTAGAGACAGTAGCAGGCTTGGGACAAGAAATCTGGGTCCCAAATCTGGTTGTCACTACCTGTGTAACATAGGGTATGTTTCTCTCTGAGCCTCAGTTTCTTCATCTTTAAAGAGAGAATGTCACATACTTGTAGGCTTGCTGTGTGAGTTAAATGTGATAATGTATGGGAAAGCACCTAATATATAGGAAGTGCTCAATAAGTATTGATTTCATTTAAATTTGAGGTAAGGCAAAGATTAGGAAAAGAATTCAGGGTCTGCATGGCAAATAAACAACTCTTGAATAACAATAGCCAGACAAAAGCAAAATATTTTAGAATAAGTAAACTTTGAGGCCAAAATAGTGAAAAATCTTGTGTGCCATGCTAAAATATTTCAACTCTGTCCTGAAACCAAGAGGGAAGAAAAAAAAACTTCCTGTTTTTTAATGTTTGCTTATTTGGATATATTTGCTTATTTGCTTATTTTATTATTCATTTATTTAGCAAATAGTTATTTAAGGTCTACCATGCCCTAAGCCTTGAAGATATGGAAGTTAATAAGTTAAATATTTTCCCTTAATTTTGTTTTAAAAATCAGCTAAACTAAGAGGAAATACATTTTGCTTATGAGAGACATGGCAGGGGTGGGGAAGAACTGGATTTGGAGAGACTATTGAGAGGGGGAAATGGGGTGAGAGACTTATGTCTTCTTTACTTAGGACTTTTTAAAAATCTTAATAAGACTTAAGATTTTTGCCATCTTGAACCCTCTGTTCCAATCCTCAGTGGTGGAAGAGTCAATGGGGGAAAATGATTCAAGAGCCTAGATTGCAGTCTTCTAGAGAAGGACCTTTAAAGTCCACCCTTTCAGGCGGGACCCCTTCAGTGATCCTTGGAGAGAAAGGGCTTAGAGGGTGGGAAGCCTACCTAGTTGCACCTGAAGGCCCCTCACTTCTTGCTCCAGCTGCCTGCTGCGAGTTTCCATCTCCTCTTGCAGGGCCCGGCACTGACAACTCATCTCTGTGGTGGGGGCAGTGGGCAGCCACAGACCCAGTGGAGATGGAGCAGTGGAGAAAGGAAGGGAAATTGTAGGTGTGTGAGACTCTGCTTGGTCCAATGGGACAGAAGCATAAAGGCCTTCTTGGTTCTCGTGGTGATTCTGAGGAGCTGGGAGACCCTGAAAACCTGGGGAAGAGCTAGGAAACCAGACCCTTTTCCTCCGTGCCAGCTCAGGATGGGGATTGTAGTCCTTCTCCCTACTCATTCCCATGGGATGAATAAGACCAAAGTTATGACTGCATTTTGTAACCCATAAAGCATCAACAGTGTGGCATCAGGCACCATGGAAGGTCCCTGCCTGGAATCTTAGATGCCTTCTTTTCCTTCCTTCAGGTTCCTGCCTGATTTGTGCTGTGCTGGGAAGGCTGAGACTAGGCATGGCAGATGAAAATCCTTCTTGTTTCTCTTCCTTGTATCCTCTGGCCCTCTCGGTTGTCCTCTTCCAGGCCCCTGTCTCTTGCCTACCTGCTTGACTGCCACACACCTGCATATATGGCCTTCCTTTCACTTCGAGCCCCTTCCAGTTCAGCCTCCAGCCCTTGCAACCTTTGCTTCAGTTCTTCTGCAGAAGCCTTGGCTTGGCGGGCCTCATCCCTTCGCAGAGCTGTGAATAGTGCCAAAGCAGCTCTCAGCACCGGCTGGGCACTCTGCTTAATAGCCCCCATGGGCTTGATGGGCTCTGCCCACTTCTGGAAACCTGGCAGCAGGCTTCCAGACTCTAATTCTCATTCTGGGTTTATTCCCCCACGCCCCCCACTCCCAAAGAATCCCATGGGCTCTTCATTACTAAAAAGCAAAAACTCCCTCTAGGTTCTGGCTCATTAGCCCTCACTGTTCACCCCTTCCTCATAATCCTAATTCATGACAATCTTTTTCTACTAGGAGATGGTTAGAGGTCAGCTTAGCCCCCCACCATAGCTCCAACCCTCCAAGCCTCCAAGGATACAGAAATGCCCCATTGGCCTACCTCTATCACCCCCAGGGCTTCCATCCTTCTTACCCAAGCGGTCTTGCAGCAACTCCTTTTCCAACACTGTCAGCCTGTGTGTGGATTTGGCTTCCACATCTGCCCTGGCAAGTTGGCAGAGCCTCAGCTTATGTTCTCAGACTTCCTTACTCTCCTCCCATCCTCATCCCACACTTTGGACTTTCTTTCTGCAAGAGATCTGAGGACTGTAAATGAGGTATCTCTGATGGCAGAATCTTCTGAGTTTACCACTGTGTCCTCATTGTCCAGTACATAGTAGGTTCTCAAAATATGTGTAATGAACATATAAGGAAGACAGAGCCAAAGGGTCTCAAGGGAGGGTTGGGTACCAATTTTCCCACTTTCCTAGCTCCTTGGACCCTGCATATGAGGAGGTGAAGAGGGAGGGTCAAGAAAGCTTTGTCTTGTCATGCAGAGGGCTGAATTTTCTCTGGAGCAGCTCTGCTTGGTCTCAGAGACAGAGCATGGAGAAGCAGGGGCCCTCACCTCCAACCACCCTGACTCACCAGCACCTGCATTCTTTTTCTTCTCCTGTGCCCCAGCTTTCATCCTTTTTCCTTTGGTCTTAGGTGGCATCTTCTTGCTGTCCTAGGGGAGGGAGGGGACTTATATTTAGGTCTGGACATGGGGATGCTTTCCTGATCCCTAGACTGAACCAAGAATCCCAGGGGAGTTAGAGTTCTAGTCTCCAAATCTATCTCTTATACTTTCTAGAAGCTTCTATACTTGATCTCCTTGAAACCTTAGGCAAGGCTGAGGTCAAGGGGAGGATGGAGCTGTTCCTCTCTATCAGTCAGGCTCTACGTACAGCAATCACTCTTCTCAACCCTCTTTTGGAAAAAATAAATCTCAGTACTTGGTCCCTTCCCTCTTCCCATCATCCTTACCCTGACTTTTCCTTCCTATAGGAATCTCTTGCCTCTGTTGTGTGTCCCTGTGGAGTGACCCACTCATGGGGAGGGGCAGAGAAAAGGCCAACCAGCTAGGAGTTTGAGGAGGAGCCTGGGTTTCTAGGAACCAATCCAAGGTGGCAAATTTCCTTCAGGGGCAGGACTGAGAACTGGAAGTTTGGGTTTCCAGAGACTACACGTAGTCCAGGCAACTGGGAAACACCGGAGTTCATATGAAGGTGGAATAGGCTAAGTATAAAGCTTAAAATACCAAGGTTTCAGAGGGCCAATTCTCTCCCAATCCCAAAATCCAAATGTAGTTTGAGGAGAAAGGGCTTTGGAGCCAATTAGCTGTGATTCACTTCCATGTAGCACTCACTGCCTGCAATGGAGACTTACATATGACATTTACACATCAGAAATAAAGTTGTTGTATTGATACAGAGGAAAAGGACTGATGGTAGCCATTGGGGACAATTTACATCCCTAGATCTCATTAGCAAAATGACGTTATTAGGCTTAAACTGAAGATCCTTTCAGGAAAGCATATTATGGGGTGTGCGGGAAAGAAATGCATGAGAAGGTAGATGAGAGAGTTTCCCACTTGAGAGAAATGAGACACAGAGAAGAGGTAGATGCATGGATTCCAGGGTGCTGACCTAGAGGGGTGGATGAATAGAAGCAAGGGCACTAGTTAGAGACAAGAGCTGTGAGTTCTAGTCCCTCCCTCTGGAGATGTAAACTTCGGCAAACCATTTAACTTTGTTCAGCCTCAGTTTCCTGGTCTTTAAATCTTAGATTTTGTAAATCCTGAAAGGCCTATGTTTTAACTGAGGATTTACAGGGCTATTTTCTCTCATGGTTACTTTATTTATTTCCTCTCTTCTCTTATTCCCTTATGTGGTTGATTTTTAGATTAGCGCTGAGAAACTACTTCAGCTCTGGGCAGTATTGATTTGTTAGGGCTCCCTCTAGTGGACGTGCTTGACCTTCTCTGGAGTCTCTCAAATTTTTCTATTTAAATTATTTATACGGTAATGTTGGAGGTGCTCCCTCTTGGGGATACTTCCTAGCATCTTCCTGAAGTCATGGATGGTTGGAAAAACAAATTTGGGAAAGGGAGTATGATGAATGACTTGCCCTTGTTGGGAGCCTTGTCATCTCTCGGCCACCTGGATCTCTGGGCACCTTACTTGCTATAATGAAAACAGTAGAAACTTTAGGACTCTTCCCTTTGTGATTTAAGGGAACCGCAGACTCCTTCTTTAGCTATTTCTATCTCTGTCCCCTGCAACATTTTTGGTCTGTTGTTAGGAGCAGATCTGAAGAAATAGAGATGAAATCTGGGAATAAAAAATCCTTCCTTGGGGAATCAGGCAGATTCAAGCAGAGGCTGATTCATGTTGATTTGTCACCTTCATGACTGCAGGGTATTTCTCTGACCTTTTGGACATTTTACAGAGTAAAGAAAAGAACCAGGGTGGTCCTTTCAGGTGCTTACAGTTCTGATTACCTCAGATAATATTCACTTTTTCCAAATATGGAGAATACATTTTTTTTTTCTTGAAGCATGTTTTTCATTTATTCTTCCTTCAAAACTCTCTCTCCCTGCCTAGGAATGCAGTAGAAGATCCTGTCTCAGTTATTCTAAGCTGGAAGCCTGTTTGGAAATGTTTTTCGTGAAATGATTAGTGTCTCCATTTGCTGATGCATGGAATGACAAATTGAGGACAGAGATTACAAAATACAAACAACATATCATACCTCAGAAGAGCATTTACTTTTCAAATATGTTCAGTCAACCGACTTTCAGGTGCAGAATGAGGATGTGGTTTGGGGTGAAGGTGAAATAGAATAAGAAAAGTGTCACATGTTATATGATGTGATACAAACTGAGTTAGCTCTAGAATAACCCAGGAATGAGAATGACATTGTAACCAACAATCCAATCCTATACTCCATTAAATCTAGGATTTGACTATGAGGGAAAAAAATACCCTTGTGTACCTACACTGTGCTAGGTACTGTGGAAGACCAAAGCCAATAAGATAGTATAGCATAAATTAATGTGTGGGAGTTGTAAGAAATAAATAGTTATGGAAATTTAGAGGAGGGAAGGATTATTTCTAGCTGGAATGTCTGGGTAGAGTTTTAAAGAGTGGATTGGATTTTAATAATACCCTTTAGGGCAGAGGGAATGCTTTGAGTAATGATTATGAAAAAAAGAATTGTGATATTCTGTGACTTGGTAGTCACTCAGCCTAGGATATATGTATTGGAATAGTGTAAACCTACAAGGTAGTTTGGAATTAGATCATGACTGTTAACTTCAATCAGGAGAAAGGGGGAGTGTAAAGTTTTTTTGTGATGCTGTCAAAACTATACTTTAAGAAGCCTAGTCTAGTGGCAGGATGGATTGGAGGCAGCAGGACAACCAGTGAGAAAAAGTTTCAATTGACCAGGGAAGAGAAAAGGAGAGCCTGCAGCTAGAGCAGTAGCACTAGGGATGTTAAGTTTTGACCATAATCTAAGAGCTTTGCCTACATTTTTCCTTGGGAGAGAGTCATAACTCTTTCTAGGTAGGAACTGATTAAAGGAAATTCTACTGATAGGAAATGATAACGTTGACTTAAAGGCCACTGAATTGCAAAACCAGGAGGATGTCTGGCTTGAAGGGCCTTTGAGTTCCCAGATATTTCTTCCCCTCTTACAGAAGTACTCGATAATCTTAATTCCCTAATCCGTCAAGGGCTTTGTGGAAGAGCCAAGGAGATTTAAGGCGGTACTGAGCTTATTGACACACTAGGGCTTGCAAACTCCCAAAGCTGAGGCTCAGAATTAGCAAATTAGGGCAGGGCACTTCCTTCTTTGGGAGGGAAGTTCCTTTTTTCAGAGTTCTTCCAGCAGAACTCTTAGATTAGAGAAGTAGAAGTGACTGGGAACTGCATTCTGTTCGAATATTCCTCTGGCTAGGCGGCTCAGTCAGAGCTGTTTTACAGTTTCTGTGGTAAGGGCCTGCTGCTGGTGGCGTCGGCCTGCGGTGCAATGCGCTGAGCAGGGGAATCTTAAGTACATACTCAATTCCCAGAAAAGGAACTAGTGTTCAGAAAGCAAAGAAAGGGAGAAGTGTTTTGTTTTCAGAGGTCAAAAGGCCTGAAAGAAGAGCTCACGGCCTGAGTGTCTCAAGCCTTTCTGGGGTCTAATCAGGTTCGAACAATCTGCAGCATTTACACTCCTGTTCTTGGTCCAGACTTCGTAAGAGTTTAAAACCAGGGGGTAGGAAGGTAACTTTCCATTTTCTCTCACAATGTGAAGAAGCAAATAACTTTAAGCTCAGTTTCCTCATTTGTCAGGAGTGGGGAAAAGACTTGATGTTAAGGTTCTCTATGGCTACCTGTCCCAAATAGTTCAATGGCCCACTCTCGGAGCGCCAGCCTACAGCCCACAAGGAATATGGAGAGCTCGGCTTCTGCCTAGTGCGCAAACTCCAGGTTAGACCCCGCCCCTCCCTCGCCCCGCTTCTCCGGCAGAGGGCGCAGGCGCGAAGGTTCCGCATGGCCGTGCCCTGGCCTGCCCCTGGGGGTAGGGACTCAGGGAGGCGGTGCGGAAACTTGGCCGCAGCTTTCCGGGGGTTTGTCGCTCTGGTGGGGGTCGCTCAGGAGGGGTCGCTACCAAGTACGGGCGGGGCGGCCCACTTCCCTAAGCTTGGCACGCTTCTCCCGCCCCCGTGCTCGCGCTTTCTGAAGGGGCGCGCCCGCACGGAGCCGCCCTCCCAGCACCGCCCACTCCCCTCCCCGTAGCTGCCCCTCCCTCCGCCAGGACAGCCGGTGGCGGTGGCGGTGGCTGGGTGAGGCCCCTCCCTCACGCCCTCCTTTCCCTCGCTCGCAGCCGAGTTGAGCCGGCGTACGCGGCTGGGCCCCCAACACTCCCCGGGCCATGGCCGGCAACGTGAAAAAGAGCTCTGGGCCTGGGGGCGGCGGCGGCTCCGGGGGCTCGGGCTCGAGCGGCCTGATCGGGCTCATGAAGGACGCCTTCCAGCCGCACCACCATCACCACCACCACCACCTCAGCCCCCACCCGCCCGGGACCGTGGACAAGAAGATGGTGGAGAAGTGCTGGAAGCTCATGGACAAGGTGAAAGGCCTGCGGACGACCCGCGGGAGCAGGGGTGGGCGTGGGCGGAGGGACCGAGGGAGGGGAAGGAAGGGACAGAGGAAGCTGGGGGAGGGGACGTGTCATGGGAGGCTGGAGAGAAGAGCTGGGGTGACGAGGCCTGGGGGTAGGGGTCGTGGGGGTGGGGAAGAGACCGGGAAGATGGGAGCCAGCGGTGGGGGAAGGGCTGAGGCGGTTGGGAGTGGGCAAACGTTGAGGTGGTGTGTTTGGGGTAGCGAGACAAAGATGGGGTGGGGGCTGGGGTGAAGGTTAACTGGGTAGTCACCAGGGCGGAAGTGTAATGGGGGAGCAGAGTTTGGGGCTCTGTGCAGGGTATAGGGATGTGGGTCACGGAATTGGCCCCGGGAGATAGGAGGCGGGGGATGAGAAAGTGTTTGATTTACCGGCTAGGGCTGTTAGCTGTTTGAGGAGTCGAGCTCTGACTCGTGAATTGAATTATGTTTATGGGTTCTGATGAAGAGACCTGGGGTTAGGACAACTCCGCAGACAAACTGCGCTCTGGGTAATGGTTTAGTTTTTTTCTCATTAAGATGTAACACCAAGATAAAAGAAATAGGGATGTTTAAATGGGTCAAGGAAGGAACTTTGCTCCACATCTAGCATTGGCTCAAGTTTTTAAATCCTCCAAAACATTGGATATGATCCTTTGCTGGTACTCAGATAGGCATTGATTAAACCACAAGTTCTGGTTAGAACCATTATCTTCTGAAAGGTGTATTGACTGAGTATGCTAAGCAGCAGATTCTGACTTCTTCCAGGACTTCCTCCTTACACTGACTGCTTTTAGCTGGGTTCTACTTTTTGTAGCGGAACTGCCTCCTTATTCCAGGACCTGACTTGAAGCTTGTTCGACGAGCTTCTTTGATTAGCCCTTTTTTAAAAAAAGTTTTTTAGCAAGTGTGAAAAATAACGCGTTTATATTTAGCCACTTTAAGTTCGGCATTTGGGTGAATTTTACTTCCTTACAGTGTGTCTGTGTAATGAAATATACTGGTTAGTCCCAAGTACTTCCAAGTGTTTAAGCAGTCCAGTGATTTTTGTTCTAGAGAATTCAATACAATATTTCCTTGATATTTTTCACAGTATTAATAACTTATTTTCGCTAAATTCATACTGCAGATGAAAAGTGATTAGAAGGATCTAGCATATTAAAGAGAATGGTGTTATTTCCTCTAGAGTAAAAAAAATTTTTTTTGATTACTCTCTCGTCTGAAGTTTCTCCTCTAAAGTTCTTCATGGATTGTTTTGGATTAGAATCAGCTAATAAAAATGATTATGAAGCACTTGGCAAATATAAATGTGCTATATAAATGCTTAATAAGTCCTGTGTGTAAATTAACTCTCCTGTAGTGCATAACAGTGGTTTCAGAGCCACTTTTTCAGGGCTGGTTTTTTTCATGTTAAATTATTGGTATTGTAATTAATGTTACAAGTATTTATAGGTTGAGTAAATTGTAGTGCTCATTTCATTATTAGAAATTGTAATAAAACTATTACAAAAAGTTAGGCATGTAAAGGAAACTTTAAATGCTTTGGTATCTTCTACAAAATATTGAATGTGTTCAAAACATGTTTGTAGATTTGCATTTTAGAGATTTACAGTTAGGACCAGAAAGGTTCTCCTGGAATAGAAAAAAATATTTGCATTTTTAATTAGTTTCTCATATAAGACATGTGTATGCAATATATCAAAATTGTATTTATTAGAGATCTCTCTTGAACAAAAACTTTTCATCAAACTTTTGAGTCTAAGGTAATCCAAATAATATCCCTCCTTAAATCTTACTCCTTCATCTCTTTAAAATATGTGTATCGAATTTTTATTTTTTCTGCCGAGTGTTTAATTATTTGGGAAGAATAAAGAGGACCCAAAGTTTTGAGTGGAAGTGTTTTTCAGGTGTTGACAGTTTCAAGGAAAGTAGGCTAGTTTTTCCATTCTCATATAGGGAGAATGATTTTTTATTATTGTGTTGCTTGTCTTTGAAGATGATTTTTAGTACTCTCTGTGCTTCATGTCACATATTACTAGTTGGTCTGAAATGAAAACTTAGTACTTATTTCTGATGTATTACTCTGATAGATTCATACTGTTTTCTAGATTTTCTGAATACTTCCGTAGTGGTGTTAGATTGCACAGTCTGTTTTACTCTTGATGTTTTGAGCATAAATATTTTTTTTCACTATTTTTATTGTTGAAAGTCTTAAATGTGTCACTAACCCTTTTTGACTTCATGTGGTATAAGTCAGCACTCCCCAGCTTTTTTGGCATCAGAGACCAGTGCTTCTATGAGAATCTAATACCTGATGATCTGAGATGGAGCTGAGGCTGTCATGCTAGTGCTGGGGAGCAGCTGCAAATATAGATGAAGCTTCGCTTGCTTGACCACCGCTCATGTCCTTCTGTGCGGCCCAGTTCCTGACAGGCCATGGAACCGGTCTGTGGCCCGGTGTTTGGGGATCCCTGGTCTAAGTGATGAACTTATTGTCAAGTCCACAAATATTTTCACACATTTATTGAATTTAGTTATAAGCCACCATCTTTTACCTGTTTTATCCTTGTCATCGAAGCTAGATGAACATTATCCCAGCCTATTATCAATCAATTTATTGATTTAGCACTGATCCCACAATATTGCATGCTTACACATGGAGAAGTTGGTATAAGTCATGGGTTTTGGTTAACATAGGCCCATTTACTAATCCATTCATAGGCTCAGTTTACTAATCCAGTGGAACTTAAACTCATTGTTGGTAAAATGCTTGTGCTAGAATGCTTTTTATTAAATAACATGCTCAGCCTCTAGTTTTTTTTTTTAACCATCCCAGTATCTTGTAATTAACATTTGTGTAAATACTTAGAAGAAAGCGTCTAGTAAGTAAAGAGACAACTGCATAGGGCAACAGAGAGAGAAGTCATATAAATGGCCTTGAATGTAAATATAGAAGAAGTAAGATATTTAGTTTAGTGAGAGACTCAAAATTCCATTATGAAGTAGAGTAGGAGGTGGCAAACTTTTTTGTCAAGGTACAGATAGTAAATATTTTGGGCTTTGCTGGCCACATACTCAGTCCCACATTCTTTGTTGATGTTTTTACAATGATTTAAAAATGCAGAAGCCATTCTTAGCTTGCAGGTGTACAAAAAAAGGCTGCAGGCTGTAGTTTGCTCACTTTTGAAGTAGAGCATCATGCTGGCAGTATTTTAGGTCTATACTATGTTTTTATTTTTAACTTACATCACTAAAATATTAAGGTGTTGATTTTTTTTTAATGGGCTATAATTTATTGGAAAATACTTTCCCTTAAAGCAAGAGTTCAAAAAAAGTGTTTTCAAAAGATGATCCTTTTGCTACCCTACCTTCTCCCATTTGCACTGCCCCTCCACCCAAAGACCTCTAGTTAACTTCCTATATTTTGAAACGAAGAGGTACTCAATAGAATTTATGAATCAGTATATTTCATTGGACTACTTCCTCCCTCCCTTACCTTTTTTCCTGTTTCCATGCTTACTATATCCCAAGCATAGTACTAGGTGTAAATTCTTATATTCCAAGAGATTACATTATAGTGATAAGTTACTACATAAGTATGTACAAATGTTAAGGGATTTCTTAAGTTTAAACATTTTGTGCACATTTCTTCGGTATTTACCTTAACCTCTCAAGATTGTAAACTCCATGAGGACAGCAACTATAATCTCCTTATCTCCTGCAGTGTCCAGTCTTAAGGCTTTACACAATAGTAAGTGCTATGTTAATATTTGTTAAATTGCTTTGTGTGTCCCAAAGAAATTACTTAAAGGAAAAGGTATGGGGTGAGAATATTAACTGCATTAAACTGACATTTTTTTGCAATAGCCCTTTGGTAATGTCATCCTTGTTTTATAGTTGAAGATAGGCTCAGAGAGTTTTTGTAACTCAGTTAATAGTGGAGAGATTTGGAATCCGGGATTACCCTCTCCTGAGGTTTAGTTATTTTCTCTATACAGTACCTGGAAAATGACGTTTGTAGGTACACAATAGCATAATACACATACTCACATACCCTGCCATTCACACAATCAAAGTAGACATTCTCTTGAATGATATTAAGATAGTGTTTAACTAGTACCATTCAGTGTTATCTACTTTAAGTTAAGAGTTTTGTGTCTCTTCAAATTATGTGTACTGGTTACTTTGCATGGTGATCTTAGACGCTGTACACATTATTTTCTCATTCTTAATTTAAGTTATCTATGGTAGCTTTTTATTTTTTATTTCATCTCTCTCCCCGGACTAGAGCTACTCAGGACCAAGGCTTTGTCTTAATTTTACTTCCAGTGCCCAATACATAGTGCTTGCTTAGTAAAGTGCAGACATTTAACAAAGTAAAGTGGGATCAAAACATATTCCCTCATTTTCTATATGATTAATTAGGAGGATCAGTAGGGAATCTTTATTTTTAGTGCTTAATTGAAGTGACAGTTATAAAACTAATTTACCCTTTTTGGTTATAAAGGTAATATACCTGGTCATTATAAAACACGAAGTGTTGTTTTTATGCCTATTAAGAATTCCCCCAAAGGATGTAAAATTCTTTATAATTCCTTATGAAACGTGAGCTCAGTTGAGCATGGTAGAAATTTTGAAAGGTATATAGAATGAAAGTAGCATTAGGTCAAGGAAGAAGATAATCTGCTCTGTTCAATTTGTGGCTTTGGTTGAAGTTTTCAGTGACTCTTGATATAGTAAAACCTGTCTTTAATGTGTTGTTAGTCAACAGTATACATATGATGAACCTGATAAGTCATCAGCAGATTGGTCCCTGACTCTTTGTTTTCAGCAGTTCATTCTATATTCAAATATACAATAACATTTATACAATGAAAAATTATTTCTCTAATAACTAACCTAGAGCATTAAAAGAAAAATGGACTGAGTATTAGTTTGAAAACTGTCTCTAAACTTCAATCACATTTTCTA